TGCCAGCTAATTGTAGTAGTTCTCATCTTCCAAACTCCCAGTATTGGGTGGGATCCACTGGGGATTTCTGATGAAATATGTAATACTGTAGTGGGGGTAATGCTGTGCTCTAGATTGGCAATTCAGTGGTTGGGATTTGGACTTTGGTGGGTTTTGGAACTCTGTCCTTAGGTATTTGAGATTTAGTCCACATCTCATATTGGTATGGAGCTTCCTACCTCTGCTGGTCTTCTGGAAAAGAAAAATCACTTTTAGGGTATAGGGACTAAGCCTCCACAAGATTCACCTTCACCAGTATGGATATGAATTATCTGTTGTCTGCCTTGGCGCACAGATGCACTTGCATGGCCATGTTAGTGTCTTCACAATAGCTTTGATGGAGTGCCAGCTACGTTGGATTTTTCTACGTTGGGATCCAGAGCCTGAGTATTCCAGTTAAAATGGTCTTTGCACCCATTTCAGTCTCTCTGTTTCAGGCACCCTCTGGGAATATTTTGTTGACTGCTGGTGACTATCCTATCTCTGTTCACAGCTGTGTAAGCTGTTCTGGGATTGCTATCAGCCCCTGGGAACATTTTTTTCACCTACTAGCATGTTCCACTCCCTCAGAGGGATTTGTGCCCATGTCCTCAGAGGACTGGTCACCCCCATGGACCATTTTCACCCCAGACCACATTGGATTTGTTTTCACTGATACACTTACCCTACCAACTATGTGTCCATTAAAATTAGCCTTTCCCTGCAAATCGCATGTTTCCCCAGGTCATTTTGTCTTTATTTTTTAGCTTCTTTATCCACTGGCCACATTTCTCTTGCTTGTGCTTTCTGCTCCACTCTGCTGCTGGCACTGGATGGCACATGTCTAAGCGATTATTTCTTATACTTAAATTACCAATTTTCTGTAGTTATATAAATTTTTTTTTGCAGTTCAGTGGTATGTTTCCTTAATGTTCCTTTGTTACTCACCTAGTTGAGGCCAAGTCTTCCTGCTTTATAAATCTGGTGCTGAGGAACTGCTGGGCCCCCTTCCTTTCTCTACTCTGCCATCTTGTCCCACCTTCTGCAATAAACGATTTAAATAAAGTACTTAGGAATGAATTTATTCAAGGAGTAATAGTTTATACGTTGAAAACTATAAAACATTGCTGAAGAATACAAATACAAATAAGGGAAAAATATCCCACAGACTTGAATTGAGAGAATTAGCATTGTTTAAATGTCCATACTTCACAAGTTGATCTATAAATTTTAAAATATCCCTATCAAAATAATAATGACATTTTATACAGAAAGTTTAAAAAGAAATACTTTAAAATGTGATATAAACCAGGCTTGTTGGCACACATCTGCAATCTCAGTGGCTCAGGAGGCTGAGGCAGGAGAATCAAAGCCAGCCTCAGTAACTTAGCAAGGGCCTAAAGAACTTAGGGAGAACCCAGTCCAAAATAAAGAATCAAAAGGGCTAGGTATGTGGCTCAGTGTTTAACTGCCCCCAAGTTCAACCCCTGGGCCACAGGTGGTATATTAAATACACAAAGGGATACTATGTGGTTTTCAAAAATAAATAAATAAATGATAATAAGGAAATACTGTCATTTGTGACAACATGAATGAACTTGGAGGACATTATCCTACGTAAAATAAGGTAGACCCAGAAAGACAAATACTACATGATCTCACTTACACATATAAAATCTGAACAAGTCAAACTCATAGAAACAAAGAGAGAAATAGTTTTATCAAAAGGTGAGGACAGGAGACTGAATTGGGAAGATGTCATCAAAGGATACAAAATTTCAATTCCATGGAGTAATAAGTTCAGGAGATCTATTGTAAAACATGGCATTAAGATAATAACAATCTTTTGTATCCTTGAAAATTGCTGAGAGAAATTTTAAATGTTTTTATCACATCAAAAAGGAAAAGTATATTAAGTAATGGATATATTAATTAGCTTGACTACCCATTCTGACATGTATACATATACCAAAACATCATGTTATACATCATAAACATATAAC